CAATGCTGCGCAGCCCGTAGAAACAGGGGCGCCCGCCTAGCCGCACCCAGACTCAGCGGCGCCGACGCCACGCACCTGCGCACACAGCGCCCGCAGACCCCGCCCCGCGCACAGGGCGCATGCGCAGACACCACCCCCGTAGGGCCCGGCGGGCGCGTTCGGGGGTTGGGGCGGGCTCAACGTCAGCGGCATATCGTCCGATCCTGCCCATTGGCTGAGAGATAAAGCATGCGCCAGGCCCGCCGCTGATTGGTCGGCACGGGAATGGCCGGGCCCGCACCCGCCAATCTTGCGGCAGCGCGTGGGGCGGCGGAGTTCCCTGGGTGGGATCCCGCGTAGTGCGGCGCTGTGGGCCTGGGGACGCCGGGCGGTGGGACCATGGCCTCTGAGGAGCCGCTGGCGGTAGTCACCTGTACCGCGCCGGTCAACATCGCGGTCATCAAGTACTGTGAGTGCCGCGGGCCGGCCTGGGACTGGGATGACCCGGAGCGAGGCCAGGCCGCCTGCAGGGTTGCCCGGCTCCAGCCCTTTAACGATGATCGAACTTTCGCAATGGAAGTCCTCGATCATCGATTCCCATGGATCGTGCGAACCCGCCGCGGGGGCGCGCGTTTGTGGCCCCAGCTACTCGGGAGGCTGAGGCGGGAGGGTGGCCGGAGCCCGCGAGGTCGAGGCAGCGGTAGCTGAGATCGCCCCCTGCCCTCCGGCCCGGGACCCCCTGCCCCTCCCTCGCCGCCTTTCTCCCAGGGGTGACCGCCAAGGAACGGGAACAGGGTGGCCCCGCAGGCGGACCTCCGCGCCTGTGCGTTCACAGCCACGCCGCCAGCCCGCCGCTGACCACTCGGTTATGTAACGCCGTCATTTCAAAACGTTTTGAAACTGGAATCACAGCATGGGCCCACCCAGTATCTTTTGAGTTCGGCTTATTTCTTTTCTCTTTTTTTTTTTTTTTTTAGACGGAGTCTGTCTCCAGGCTGCAGTGCAGTGGCGCAGTCTCAGCTCACTGCCACCTCCACCTCCCGGTTCAAGTGATTTCTTCCCTCTCACCCTCCCGCGTAGCTGGGACCACAAGCGCGCTCCACCACGCCCAGCTAATTTTTGTATTTTTTAGTAGAGACGGTGTTTCACCATGTTGGTCAGGATGGTCTCGATCTCTTGACCTGGTAATCCAACCGCCTGAGCCTCCCCAAGTGCTGGGATCACCGGCATGAGCCACCGCACTCACCCTTTTTTTGAGACAGCGTCTCACTGTGTCACCCAGGCTGAAGTGTACAGCTCGCTACGGCCTTGACCTCCTGGGCTCCAGATCCGCCCACCCTAACCACCTTAGTTGGGACCACAGGTGCATGCCACCGTGCTTGGCTAATTTAAAAATAATTTTTTTTTTGAGACAGAATCTTACTCTGCCACCCAGGCGTGAGGGCAGTGGTGTGATCTTGGTTTACTGCAACTTCTGCCTCCTGGGTTCAAGCAATTTTGCCTCAGCCTCCTGAGTATCTGGGATTACATGTGTGTGCCACCATAGCCAGCTAATTTCTATAATTTTAGTACAGACAGGTTTTCGCCATGTTGGCTAGTCCAGCCTCAAACTCCTGGCCTCCCGCAAATCTCCTGCCTCAGCCTCCCAAAGTGCTTGGGATTACAGGTGTGGGCCATTGCACGCAGCCTAAAATTTTTTTTTGTAGAGTCTGGGTCTCACTATGTTGCCCAGTCTGGCCTTGAACTCCTGGGCTCAAGCAGTCTCTTTCCACCTTGGCCTCCCAAAGTGCTGGGATTACAGGTTCGAACCATCACACCTGGCCTTCGTTGTTCCTAAGTGTTTTTTATTTTATTTTAAAGCTATTTATTTAGAGACAGAGTCTTGGATGTGTTGCCCAGGCTGGAGTACAGTGACACAATCTTGGCTCACTGCAACCTCTGCCTCCCAGGTTCAAGCAATTTTCCTGCCTGAGCCTCCCAAGTAGCTGGGATTACGTGTGCGTGCTGCCAAGTGCAGCTAACTTTTTAGTGTTTTAGCAGAGATGGGTTTTCACCATGTTGGTCAGGCTGGTCTCGCGCTCTTGACCTCGTGATCCACCCACCTCAGCCACCCTAAATGTTGGGATTACAGGCATGAGCCACTGAGCCCAGCCTTTTTTTTATTTTTTATATTATTTATTTTTTTGAGAGGGAGTGTCACTGCTCCACCCAGGCTGGAGTGCAATGGTATAATCTTGGCTCACTGCAACCTCCATTTCCCCGGTTCAACAGATTCTCCTGCCTCAGCCTCCTGAGTAGCTGGGACTACAGGTGTGGGCCACCATACCTGGCTAATTTTTGCATTTTTAGTAGAGATAGGGTTTTACCATATTGGCCAGGCTGGTCTTGAACTCTTGAACTCAATTAATCTGCCTGCTTTTGCCTCCCGAAGTGCTGGGATCATAGGTGTGAGCCACTGCACCTGGCCGACAAGTTATTTTTATGGAAACTTGTCCATTTTTTTTTTTTTTTTTTTTTGAGACGGAGTCTCGCTCTCGTTACCCAGGCTGGAGTGCAATGGCGCGATCTCGGCTCACCGCAACCTCCGCCTCCTGGGTTCAGGCAATTCTCCTGCCTCAGCCTCCTAAGTAGCTGGGATTACAGGCACGCGCCACCATGCCCAGCTAATTTTTTGTATTTTTAGTAGAGACGGGGTTTCACCATGTTGACCAGGATGGTCTCTATCTCTTGACCTCGTGATCCACCCGCCTCGGCCTCCCAAAGTGCTGGGATTACAGGCTTGAGCCACCGCGCCCGGCCTTTGTCCATTTTCTTGTAACCTTCAGAGACTCTGGTCTTACGTAAACCTCCATTTGGGCTGGTTTTTGATAGCATGCTGGTGGGGCAGGGCGTGCTGGCTCGTGATACGGAGGCAGAGGTCCAGGCTCCGTTCCCCACCGACGCTGCGCCGGGTGGTGCCCCATCCCCACCAGGCCCTCGGAATTCCTGAGTGTCTACCTGGCCTCCTCTGACGAGCCAGCAGGTCATGGGAGTCCAGGCTCCTACATGCTGTCCTTCCTGGGGAGGTGAAAGTCCCTGCTCCTTCAGGGAGGGGAAGCGGTGGAGCACCTCTTCCAGCCTGGAGTGTGGGAGGAGTTTCTTTTCTTTTCTTTTCTTTTTTTTTTTTTTTGACGAGGTCTCCCTCTGTCACCCATGCTGGAGTCAGGCTGGAGTGCAGTGGTGCGATCCCGGCTGACTGCAACCTCCGCCTCCCAGGTTCAAGCAATTCTCCCCCCTCAGCCTCCTGAATAGCTGCGATAACAGGCGCGTCACTCCAGCCCAGCTAATTTTTATATTTTTAGGAGAGATGGGGTTTCACCGTATTAGTCAGGTTGGTCTCGAACTCCCAACCTCAACTCATCCACCCACCTCGGCCTCCCAAAGTGCTGGGATTCCAGGCGTGAGTCACCACACTGGCCAGGATTCTGGTTCTGTGTTGCTAGGCTGGCCTTCCTGACCCTGCTAGAGAAGGCTGGCTTTGGTTGGCAGGTGCAGCTTCTGCAGAACTAGGTCTAGGGCAGGCAGGAAAGAAAACCCAGGGCCTCCCCCTGCACTCTCACAGCTGCTTTCTGTCACCCGCAAGAGTCTCACCTGTGACATCCAGGATCTTAGTTGTCCTGAGTGGGAGGAAGAGAGAGAAGTCCCCCAGCCCACCTTTCTGAAAGCAGGAGTCCGCCTGGCCTACCAGGGCAGCCGTGTCCGCCTGCAAGGAGGCCGCTTAGTGCTGTGTGTCAAAGAGCCTTGCGAACTTTAGGCGCAGTTCTCTGCCAGGGGTCCGCCATCCCCAGAGACCTCCCTCCACAAATCCTAGCAGATTGTGTGCTTACAGGGACCTTGTCAAATGAGGCTTCAGCAGAGGCACTGCGCGGCGCTCCCGGGCAAACCTTTCGTTTCTAGCTTTCCAGAAGGTTGATTTCATTTGCTGTCCCATGCCTGGCTGGGCAGAAGGTTCCCAGAGAATTTGAGCAGTGAGATTTGGGCATTAACAGGAGCGGGGCTCCTTTCATTTGGGAAGATGGAGGGGAGGCAGGCGTTGGTGGGAGTGCTCTGCATCTGTGCACTCACAGGAGGGGGGGTGCAGAGGATGTTGGCTGGCCTCCAGCTCTGCTCTGGGAGCCTGAGCTCAGTGGGGCGGGGAACAGTTCTTGGGGGCAAGGGTCTAGCAGGAGGAGGGCCAGGCAGGTTGTACAGTGAGAGACAGGATGGAGGCGGATGGCAGCCGTGGGTCACTGGTGGGCACAGCTGTGGGGGAACGCTGCAGGAGGGTGGGCCAGGAAGCCCACCGGCCTGGCCCTGGCTGTTCACTGCAGGGGGCAAGCGTGATGAAGAGCTGGTCCTGCCCATCAACTCCTCCCTCAGCGTCACTCTGCACCAGGACCAGGTAAGTGTGGACTGGTGACCAAACGCCGCAGTGCCATTTACAGAATGTTTGTAGAACAGCTGGTACCAGCCGGGCTTGGGGGCTCACCTCTGCAATCCCAGCATTTTGGGAGGCTGATGTGGGAGGATCTCTTGAGGCCAGGAGTTGGAGGCCACAGTGAACTATGATTGTGCCACTGCTCCAGCCTGGGTGACAGAGTGAGAGCTTGTCTCTGAAACAAAACAAAGCAGTTGGTACCTTTTTACCTAAAGGCTAGGATGATGGCTTAGCAACCACTCCCAGCCAGCACACGGCGGCTGTTCAGTGTTAGGAGAGCTTCCCACAGCACAGCACACGCCTGCCCCAGGTCTCCTCACACATGTGCACACCGTGCCTCAGGGGCTCCTTGGGAGTCCCTGTCCCTTCAGGATGAGGCTTGGTTGCTACACAGCGCATGGGCTATGCTTTCAGCTCCCATGGGCTTCCCCACAGCCCAGCTAAGGCCTTTTTTGCTCGAGTGGGCAGCCACGAGGCCGTCTCAGCGGAAGGGGGCACCTGGCTGGCATCGGTCCTCAGTGCTGGCCTCTGAGGTGGTCCCGGGTTTCCTTTTCAGTTAAAAACCACCACAACGGCCGCCATCAGCAAGGACTTCACCGAGGACCGGGTTTGGCTGAACGGCCGGGAGGAGGACGTGGGGCAGCCGCGCCTCCAGGCCTGCCTGCAGGAGAGTGAGTTGGGGTTCCTGCAAGCCCATCCCTCCCTGTTGTCAGCAGGGTCCAAGTGTCCAGAAAGTGCTTCTGCCTCTGGGCCCCTCCTGAGGCTGCAGGGCATGGCTGGGAACTAGACCTCTGGACTTCCCAGCTCCAGGGCAGTGGCCCACCTCCAGGACCAGCTGAGTCTGGGCCTGCGGTCTGGGGTTTTCCCGGGAAAGGTCTCTGCGACGAGTTTGGCAGGCAGAGGGCTGGTGTTCAGCTCTGAGTCCTGGGCAGGAGCAGGTCGGACAGGGTGCTGACGGCTGGGCCTCATGCCATCTCATTCTCTGCAGTCCGACGCCTGGCCCGGAAGCGGAGGAACGCCTGGGATGGGGACCTGCCGCCCTCCAGCCTTAGCTGCAAGGTGCACGTGGCTTCGGTGAACAACTTCCCCACGGCTGCGGGCCTGGCCTCCTCAGCGGCGGGCTACGCCTGCCTAGGTGGGTGCCTGCAGAGACCTGCCGGGGTTTCAGGCACAGGAGCCGCTGCGCTCTGCCGGTGTCAGGGAGCCCACTGCTGGGCAGGCTGAATGAGCACCTACCTCTCAGGCCTCCCTGGTCTCTGGAGTTGTTTGGGCTCTTCCCAGAGCACCTCTGAACCAGGTGTCTTCCAGCTGCAGCAGGCGCGGGCTCACGCCTGTGATCTTAGCACCTCAGAGGCTGATGGGGAGAATCACTTGAGGCCAGAAGTTCAAGACCAGCCTGGGCAACATAGGGAGACCCCTTCTCTACGGAAAATAAAACAGTCTTCCAGTTGCTCCATGTGGGGCCCTGCAAGGTTGTCAGTGATAGAAGCCACTTCAGACTGGCTCAGACCTAAAAGGGCGATGACTTTGCGGCCCACATAACTTAGGATTCCAGTGGGCACAGCTGGTTGCAGGCCCCTCTGAACCATTCTCCGCCGGCACCAGGCCACTCTGGCGGCTTCCCAATCAGTGGCAGAGCCTGTCCTCACAGTGGTGGTCTCACACCATCTTCACCCCTCAACTCCAGGGATGACGCTTCCTGGCCCCCCAGGCTCCGGTACCTTCCCTGAACCACCATCTGTGACCAGGGTAGTGGGTAGCCAGTCCTGGAGGTGGGGTCGCCCTGCTGGAGCCCTGTGGACTGAGGGGAGAAGGTGGCTCCAGTGCTGGGTGGGCAGAGGCACAATCTGGCGGAGTCCTGCTCTGTCCTGGCATCAGTCCCTGGCCCACATGACCTTGCCAACTCCTTCCCACCCTTAAAGCCCAGCTTGGGTGTTCTGGGGGCCTCCTTCCAGCCCCATGGTGGGTCGGAATCCCCTAGGTGGCTTCCTGCTCTGCTGCAGGTGCCTTTTGTCACCCTTGTCTCAGGCCGCAAGCCTCGTACAGCGAGTGCCGGGAGCCGAGCTAGTGGAGGGGTGGACAGCTGAGCCAGTGAGTGCCGGCCTCAAAGGCTGATGGCTCAGAAGCCCTGTCATCTGGAAATCCCCTTGGCAGTGGGGTGTGGGGTGTTCTGGGGTGGTGAACCGGCGGGGAGCACAGCGTGGGCAGCTCTGAGGACCCCCACACCCCCGTGCCTGCAGCCTACACTCTGGCCCGCGTCTATGGCGTGGAGAGTGACCTCTCAGAAGTGGCTCGCCGGGGCTCAGGCAGCGCCTGCCGGAGCCTGTATGGGGGCTTTGTGGAGTGGCAGATGGGAGAGCAGGCTGATGGGAAGGACAGCATTGCCCGGCAAGTGGCCCCTGAGTCGCACTGGCCTGAACTCCGCGTCCTTATCCTGGTGGTGAGTCGGGTGGTGTGTAGCACCAGTCGGGCACCTTCTTCTCCTAGTCAGGGTGGCCGCTGGGAATGGGAGGGAAGGCATCCCATCCAGGCATCGCGTGGCTCCTGGGGTCAGTGGGGGCTGAAGCAACCACTGTTTGGCTGCGTGTTCAGGAAGCGCTCCCATGCGGCACCCCTGCTGTGGTCATGCAGGAGGCACTGACTCCCACCCCCGCTGCCCGCATCAGCCAGGGAGGGCCGAGTGTCGGGAACTGCAGTCCCTGGGGCTGGTCTCTGCAGGGTGTAGCCCGGGTTGTCTCCCCGTGCAGGTGAGCGCTGAGAAGAAGCTGACGGGCAGCACTGTGGGCATGCAGGCCAGCGTGAAGACCAGCCCCCTGCTGCGGGTGAGGCCGGGAGCGGGTGACCGTGGGGCTGTGGGGGTCACGCTTGTGCCTGGCTCTGCCCTCAGCCTCTTGCTAAGACCAGGTGGAGGAGCCAAACCCAGAGACAGGGCTTGAGCCGGGCCTCCACGCCCGGAGCCTTGCCCCAATCCCTGTGCCGTCGAGAGCCCCAGCGGCTCTGTGGAAAACACCCCGTGCCTTGCAGTTCCGGGCCGAGTCCGTGGTGCCCGCACGTTTGGCGGAGATGACCCGCTGCATCCAGGAGCGGGACTTCCGGGGCTTCGCCCAGCTCACCATGCAGGACAGCAACCAGTTCCACGCCACCTGCCTGGACACCTTCCCGCCCATCTCCTACCTCAGCCACGTCTCCTGGCGCATCATCCAGCTGGTGCACCGCTTCAACGCCCACCACGGGGACACCAAGGTGACTCAGGCTGGGAGGGCTGTAGCACGTGTCTAGCCGTGTGCTGCCGTGGAGGCGGTCCTGAGATCAGCGTGCACGGGGATCTGTCCGAAAGCTCTGCCCTGCTGTGTGCCAAGCTCAGCGACCATGTGGGTTCTTGGGGTTCGTTTCCTGGCTTGCTTGGCTCACAGCCCCACTGCCTTTTTCCTGGGTTCACAGGCAGAGGTGTCAAGTAACAGACGCTTGGGGCCACAGCTCCGCCCCAGTGTGGCCCTGAGTGCCCAGACTGAGCTCTTGGAGACCCCAGAGCCCCCAGACAGGCCAGAGGGTTGGGGGTACAAGGCCAGGCACCACACACACAGCAGGCTGACTGCAATGGGTTCCAGGTGGCGTACACCTTTGACGCGGGCCCCAATGCCGTGATCTTCACCCTGGAGGACACCGTGGCTGAATTTGTGGCTGCTGTAAGGCACACCTTTCCCCCGGGGTCCAACGGAGACACGTGAGTGTGGACCCCTCCCCTCCTCCTTTTTGGGAAATGGTGCCCAGAACATCCTTCCCGAAGGGATGGAGGCAGCTGAAGGCTGTGACACTGGGCATCCCACGGCAGGTGTCCATTCCCCCAAGTGTGGGACCACTCAGTGTGTCCCCATGGAGCCATCCCACAGTCCATGTCCACAAGGAAAAAAGCGAGGCCACGCACACCTGTGTGCGTGACACCCAGGGTCTCCCACCTCATGAGAGATGGGGTCCCCTGCAGCTCAGGAGCCTGCAGGCCCCTAGTCCGTAAAAGAGTGGCTTCTTAGGAAACACGTGTGCGTTCCCAGGAGCACATACCCATGTCTGACATTTGAAAGGAAGGAGTTCAAAGCCTCCGACTTCCTCCTCACTGAAATGAGTTAGAGCCAGTCCAGGCGGCCGGTGTTGTCCCTTCCCTGCAGTTGGGTGTTCTTTCTGGGGTGGGGTCCAGCAGCTGCCTCCTGGCACCATGGACCCCCCGTGTCCACCCTCCTGTTTGTAGCTCAGCCCCACCTCCTCGAGCCACAGGCAGTCAGCTTCTTCCTCCCGTGGTTCTCGGTCTCATTCTCAGTGTGAGGGGCGCCTCCCGCTGAAGGGTGTCTGGAAGCCTGTGGGGATGTGTGTCTGCCCTGGATGGAGGCAGTATTGACATCTGATGATCGGGGGCCTGCCCTGTGAGACAATGGACTGAGACCCACACCCCAGGACTGCCTTCCTGGGCAGTGCCAGGCCCGTGACCCTGCTCCGGGTGGGGCGTGCAGGCTTTCGCTGTTCTGCAGAACACCATAAGTGCACCAGCTTGAACTGGGCACTTCCCTAAGCTGTTACCCCATGGGGCTGGGCAGCAGCCTTGGTCAGACATGGACCCAGGCCTCTTGAAGGTCCCCTCAGAGCGGCCTCAGCCTGGGCATAGCTGTTTACCACATAACCTCAAATTTACTGTCTCAGGCCGGGCGCAGTGACTGACACCTGTAATCTCAGCACTTTGGGAGGCTGAGGCAGGCGGATCACCTGAGGTCAGGAGTTCAAGACCAGCCTGGCCAAGATGGTGAAACTCGTCTCTATGAAAAATTCAAAAATTAGCTGGGCATGGTGGTGGGCACGTGTGGTCCCAGCTTCTCCGGAGGCTGAGTCAGGAGAATTGCTTGAACCTGGGAGGCAGAGCTTGCAGTGAGCCAAAGTCACGTGACTGCACTCCAGCCTGGACAACGGAGCAAGGCTCCATCTCGAGAGCATACACTCCCACATCCCGTGGTGTGGAGACATTCACAGGGGGTGTGGAGCCCCCTCCTTAGCTTTTCCATCCCCTCTTAAAGAAACCTGTCCCTGTAGCAGCCACCTGCCATCTCCCCTCCCTGGGCCCTGCCAGTCAGGAATATGTTCCTGTCTCTGGCGTTGCCTGTTCTAGACACTTAGAGACATGCACGTGTCTACCATGCCCTGCCCTGCTTTTCCAGGTTTCTGAAGGGGCTGCAGGTGAGGCCGGCCCCTCTCCCCGCTGAGCTTGAAGCTGCGCTGGCCATGGAGCCGACTCCCGGTGGGATCAAGTACATCATCGCCACTCAGGTGAGGCCCAGTACCCTGTGGGATTTCCTTTCCTGCCAGACAGGCTCAGCCCGGCTCCCTGTCCCTCCCGTGTTTCAGGCAGGAAGCCAGAATGCCTTTGGCTCTTGTGTTTCATTCATTTGTTCTCAAAGAGGAGGCTGCAGGCCACTGGCGAGGCTCAGAGCAGCAGGACTGGGCCAGGCTGGGGGTGAAGGGATGAGTCTGATGCAGGCTCCCAGGGAGACAGGTGGGGAGTGCCTGGGATGGTGCTGCTGGGGTCCCGGGGACAGCCTCTCTCCCTGGGGCTCCCCCCACCCCAACTGGCCCAGTAGACCAGGATTCCTGCTTTCTGACCTGCTCAGAGGGCCAAGCCCCCATCGGGATCACGCCCGCCCGAGCCTTGGCCTTCACCTTCCTCTCAAGGGCCGCGTGCACAGGGCCGTGTGCCTTCAGGCACTGTGGTCCTGTCCACCCAGTGACCGAGGCAGTGCCCCAGGCAGAGGGCTTCTAGCTGGCAGGGCAGCTGTGCCTGCAGGATCTGGGTGTGGGTGTCACTCGGGTGGTGTAACTTCTGGCCAGGACCCACCAGAAGGGCGGGGCACACTGCTGCTCTCCTGTATCCAGCCCCTACACGTGCCGGGGCACAGGGCGACATGCTGCCATTGCTGGTGACCTGACATGGATCTCTACCTTCAGGTGGGGCCGGGGCCTCAAATCTTGGCCGACCCCTGCACCCACCTCCTGGGTCCTGACGGCCTGCCGAAGCTAGCTGCCTGACCGCCTCCGCAGGAGCGCAGCCGCCTGGAGAAGGGGTGTCCTCGCTGGAGCTAGAAAGCGGGTGTGGTGGACTGGCTGGACCGCTGGGACTTGTGTGTGGTGGCCTGGCTCTGGGCCCATGGGCAGCATGCCGTGGGGCAGTGCGGGGAGACCTGCGGCTGCCGGATGTCAGGAGAGGTCCCCGCCGCGTGCCTCAGCTGCCCCGAGCTGCACCAGCACTTCGCCAATATGGATGGGGTCGGGGGGTGAAAGCTGGCAGAGCCGGGTGCGGCAGGGCTGAAGGGCTTTCTCACCTCACTCCGGACGTTCCCACTGCTCCGGGACAGGAGCTCGGCAGGGACTTGGCATCCCTCAGGGCCAGGGGAGGGGTCTGTTGGAGCAGCCACCTCGGGCCTCAGGAAGCCACGAAGTATCTCGGCTGGTGGCTGCCCATGGCACCTCTGCTGAGACCCTGCCCAGGTATGGCTGGAATGGTGGGAGGAGTGGGCACCAACACGGCCCTAGTGGCCGTGGGAATAAACTGGCATTGCAGCCTCTGCCTCCTGCTGTTTTCCTTGTTTTGTTGTTGTTTAGATTCAGTGAGGTCCTCCTGTTTCATAAACCAGCATTCCCGGGCTCCTGCTCCGAGGGGCCCTGGGACTTGCCAGGGAGTCCAGATGTGCCCCATGAGGGCCTGGGGGAGCAGGCTGGGTAGAGGCACGGGAGGCTCCCCTCAAACCCCACACTGGCTCAGGTGGGACCCTCAGGCAGCCATAGTGCCCTTTCCATGGGCACTGGGCCCACCTCCCACTTACCATTACCACCTCTGCTGCCCTTTCCCCACCCTTAACGCCAACCCCTGCCTCCCATCCCGAGGCTGGATGTGACAGAGCGGCTGTCCCTGTGCACATCCTGTCCCCTCCCCGAGTCTCAGTCATAGTCGAGTGATGGTGAGGGGAAGCCCAGTGTCAGGCCACGCCTGTGCCAGCCTAGAGCCAGGGTGAAGAAATGGGGGCAGGGCCTCTGGCCGCCACGGGGAGGCCACCCTTGGCCCCGGTAGCATCGGTGCAGAGGTGGTCCTGGGCTGTAGGGGTGGCCCCCACCCCCCAAGGCTGTGGAGAGGCGGATCCGCTCAGGAAGCCGACCCTCCACACCTTTCTCTGCTATTCCTATACGGCTTGTTGACACGACAAAGCATGGAAGTCCGCGCTGGGCAGGGACACTAGTCAGTGCGGGAGAGCTGAAGCCGGGAAACGCAGACTCCCCGCCTGGGCTGGGGCTGCCACGCAGAGCCCCTCCGCAGCCTCGGTCTGGAGAGTGCGGGGGCAGAAGGCTCCGGGACAGCCCCGCACCCTACAGAGGCGAGTCTCCGCCCACCCGCGGTCACCTGGGGGGCTGGGGGCGGGGCCGGGCCGGGGCGGGGCTCGGCCGGGAGCGCAGGGGCGGCAGTGCGCGCCTAGCAGTGTCCCAGCCGGGTCCGCGCAGCCATGGGGCAGATCGAGTGGGCCATGTGGGCCAACGAGCAGGCGCTGGCGTCCGGCCTGAGTGAGTGCGCGGCAGGGGCGGTGGAGGCTGCAGCCTGGGGGTGTCCCAAGGCCCCAGCCGGGACCTCGGGCTACTTACCGGGCAGGGAAGTGGGGCACCAGGCGGGCTGGGCTGGGATGGGGTCAGGCCCGGAGGGTGCGGGCAACGGGGGCGGGACCTTCAGGCCATAGCTGGAAGGAAGAGTTCCGAGACCCTGAACAGTCCTCTTGCAGACCCAGCGGAGCGGCGCCTCCTCCCCCATTCGCTTCCCTCCGTTCCCCGACTCTGCGAAGGAGGAAGTTGCGGCTCAGGGGAAGAGGCGGTTCAGCCCCGGTGGTTTCCGGGGTGACCGATCCCCCCAGGCCCCCCAGTGGGGGCTCTGGCCTGGATATCGGGAGAAGCTCCCCTCCCCTCAGTAGCCAGCTGGGCTGGGGATCAGGCCCCCTGGGATTGGGGTGGGAAGGTGGGCTCTTCATGCCGCGGAGCCCAGCCCTCCTCATCTGGAGTCGGCCTGAGATTTCCCAAGGCATGGAAACTAGTGACCGCCCTGCCCAGCCCAGTCCAGCTGCTCTTGGGGTGGAATGGCACCCTGCTGCGCATTTGCTCAGGCGTGCTGCTGAGGGCAGCAGACTCCATTTGGAAATAAACCGTCTCAGGACCAGGGTGGGTGAGAGTGGGCTCAGGTGGGGTCTAAGCCCGGAGGAACCAGGGCAGCAGCTCCAGGAAGGACCCGCAGCAGGGGAGGAGTGCATGGGAAGGGCACGGGGGCTGGGGGTGAGGAGGGACCTGCTGCTGCCACTACCCTGGGGCTCTGAGCGCCCTCTCTTGTCTGGGGAGTGAGGGGGAGCAGAGACCGCATGGTGGGAGGCCTGGAGCTCAGGGACCTGCCGACTGTCTGCCCAGCAAAGTCACCACCCACTCAGAGTCAGCCACCAAGAACTGGGTGGGTCAGTTCAGACAGCTCTCCCCAGAGCCGCCCCATGGGACTGTCACCCTGCCTGCCCCATACTCCCTGCAGGAAGTAGAGGGACTGAGGCACCCAGCTGGGACCCAGGAGACCTGGGCTCTAAGTCTGTCCTGTGCAGGCAGCTTCCCTGCTGGAACCAGCAGGGCTCCTGGCCCAAAGGGTAAGCGCCGGATCGGACAGATTAGATGCCCTGCGCGGCCCACCTCAGCCTCCCCACCCCTCCTCCAGCTGCCGGGGATTCCTTTCTGTTCTAGATCTCCTAAGCATGCCCAGGGCCTTGGCACAAGCTGCTACCTCTGCAGAGCCTCATGGCTGTCCCATTTCTTTCTCAAATGCCACCTGCTTGGGGAGGTCTCCAGAACGTGGAGCCCCAGGAGGCAGCTGGCCCTGAGAGAGCGGGGCCCTTGACAGAGTCCCTGTACACAGCAGGTGCTCTGTAAATGTGGCTGGGTGCCATAGTATGTCCTCAGGCCTCCCTGGTGGCACCAGCAGCAGCCTTGCACCCTCTTTCGGAGGGCAGGCTCAGGACCGGGACAGTCCCCCAAAGACGCACGGACAACAGGCTGAGTGGACTCAGGGACACTGCCCTGCCTTCCTCCGATGCAGACGGGCAAAGTCAGGGAGTTAATGTGTAGCTGAGCTCAAACCAAGGATAGCAAATCTTCAAGGGAGACCAAGGGGTGACCAAAACAATGGCTGGCAGGGCGAGGCGGCCACGCCTGTGATCCCAGCACTTTGGGAGGCCAAGGCAGGTGGATCCCCTGAGGTCAGGGGTTCAAGACTAGCCTAGCCAATGTGGTGGAACCCCGTCTCTGCTAAAAATACAAAAATTATCCAGGCGTGATGGTGCGCGCCTATAGTCCCAGCTACTCGGGAGGCTGAGGCAGGAGAATTGCGGGAACCCAGGAGGCAGAGGTTGCAGTGAGTCAAGATTGGGAGAGCCACCGAACTCCAGCCTGGGTGACCGAGTAAGACTCTGTCTCAAAAGAAAAAAAAAAAAAAACAGTAAGAGGGAGTATCGGACAATAACCAAAAGAAGGGTGCAGAAATAGCCCTATCAGTTGAAACTGAAATTAAGGCCAACAGCTGACAGGTTTGGAGAAACTCTGTCAGGGACACTCCAAGATGCAGAAACCACACTCAGCACATAGGCTTTCCTGCATCAAACAAAGACTCACGGTAACAAGCATGTCCACTCGGGGTTCCCAGAGCCCAGGGGCACAGGCCCACTGGTGCCTGCAGGTCGGGCCGTCCCTTGGCCGCTCCTGGGCCTCAGAGCCCAGGCACGTCACACACCCCACTCCACCAGGCCATGCGCCACCAGCTCTGCTCTTCACCAGCGCAGGAGGCGGCATCCTGCGGTGTCCCCGACCCTGTCGCTGTGCTGTGGGGATCTGTAGGGACAAACACATGGACTGCAGAGGACAGTTCTTGGTGGTCTGGTGGCCCATGGTAGAGAAAGGGGGTGGCCCAGGCCCCCGGGATGGGAGCCCCTCAGTGCCTGACCCACTACCCCTCCCTGCAGTCCTCATCACTGGAGGCATTGTGGCCACTGCCGGGCGCTTCACCCAGTGGTACTTTGGAGCCTACTCCATGTATCCTTCCACCCGAGGCGGGGGTGGGCAGGGAATGCCCAGGGCAGAGCTGGGGAGCCACTTCAGGGAGCGCTTTGCCTCTGTTCTCCAGCACTGCAGCCAGGCTGGGAGACAGGGCAGGCTGTCCAGGGGTTGGGCAGCCCGGGCCTCATCAGCCAGGCCGCTCGCCTGGGCCATGTGGTGGTCAGTGGCAGATCTGCCAGCCTGAGTCCTGGTGAGGGGTGGGCGGGTGGTGCCCCCTGAGGGCCAGGGCCCGGACCAGCACTGGAGCGTCCCTTGGACTGCTGGGATCCCCATCAGTCATCCCCCTTGGCCAGCCCCTCCACCTCCTCTGCCCCGTCTCAGCCCTGCTGCCCTGCCAAACCTCCCAACAAGGAGCAGTGGGCAGGGTGGCATGAGGCCAGGTGTGGGCCAGGCTCAGGTGCCCGGACCTGTTGGCACCTCCCCTGGCTGTTTCCTGCTCTGTGACCTCAGGCAGTGGCTGCCTCCCCCCACTTTTTTTTGAGACAGGGTCTCGCTCTGTCCCCCCAGGCTGGAGTGCATCGGTGCCATCATGACGCATGGCAGCCTCCACCTGGGCTCGGGCAACCCTCTCACCTCAGCCTCTGGCGTGTCCGGGACCACAGGCGCATGCCACCGCACCTGGCTAATTTTTAATTTTTTTGTAGAGATGAGGGCCTCACTGTGTTGCCCAGGCTGGTCTCAAACTCCTGGGCTCCAGTAATCCTCCTGCCTCAGCCTCCCACAGTGTTGGGATTCCAGTCGTGAGCCGCCGTGCCCAGCCCCTCTCCATGCTGTCTTAGTAAAGGGGCTCGCTCTGTGGCCCCTCAGGCTGAGCTGGGCTGCTCCTTAACCACATGGCTTCAGTGTGGCAGGCGTGTTTGTCTGCCTGCTGGAGTACCCCCGCGGAAAGAGGAAGAAGGGTTCCACCATGGAGCGCTGGTGAGTCACCTCCTGCATGCTCCAGGTTCTGTCCCAGGGCTGTGGGGCCCAGGCAGGGCCCACAGGGTCGGGTATGTGGAGTCTGGCTCCTCGCTGGGAGGCTCTGGAACCAACCCTTCAGTCCTTGTGGGCAAACCAAGGCCAGTGCCTGCCTGGCATGTTTCCTGGGAGGAAAGAGGCCCGGGTGCCCTGGAGCGGTCCTGAGGGAGAGAGGCCCACCGCACTGTCCCCCTTCCTCCTTCCACAGTGGGCAGAAGTACATGACTGCCGTGGTGAAGCTGTTCGGGCCCCTCACCAGGAATTACTACATCAGGGCCGTCCTGCACCTCCTGTGAGTCCCGCCCCGCACCCCCTCTGGGGCTCAGGACGGTTTGGAGCAGACCTCCCCACTGTGCCACCTGCCGGGCTGCCTGGACTGGAGCCACTGCCACTTACCTGGACATTTTTCTAAACCAAAATTCGGGTCCCCAGGTGTGGCAGGGCCCCTGGAGCCTGCATCTGCTGTCGTGTGTGCGGGGTCCCTAAGGATCCTCCCCAGACCTGAGCAGCTCCGATCATAGCAGCATGGGCTGGGGCCCACAGGCCCTGCTGGGGGGTCTTGCCTGGGCTTCCTGGTAGCGTGGAAGGTCCCACGCCGTGTGTCTGGTGGTCGCTGCCGGCCAAGGCTGGGACACCTGCATGTGGCTGCCCTGCAGCTGTGGGGGCTTCCTCCAAGCAAGTGTGCAGAGCCGCTCATGTCCCCATCAAGGCTGAGAACACTCAGGACCCAAACAAGCCCCTGGCTCTGCACGTCCCCTTGGTCTGCGGTCCGTCTTGTCCCGAGACCTTGTGGCCTTGGCCCCCATACCTGGGGCTCCGTTCCTCCTTCTGAGTGCCCTTCTGTGTCCCTGCCTCCCGCCCACCGCCCCCCAGGCTGTCGGTGCCTGCTGGCTTCCTGCTGGCCACCATCCTCGGGACCGCCTGCCTGGCCATCGCCAGCGGCATCTACCTGCTGGTGAGTAGTGCTCTCTGAGGTCAGCTCTGGCCACCCCCAGCCCCAGCCCCTGCCCTGACACCCTCAGACACGCATGGCCCTTGAAGCTGGCTCTGCAGGCTGAGTCAGCCTGAAAGCAAGTGTGAGCTGGGGCGTGAGCTCACAGCATGGCGGGACGTGACCGCCGCAGCGGCTGCTCTGCACACCTTGTGTGTCTGGTCATTTCTCTGCTGATTAACCCACAGCACAGTCCTGGGAGGGGTACTGGGGTCCCCGCTTTACAGACAAAGATGCAGAGGCTCAGAGAGGTGCTGGAGCTGGCCTGGAGTCACACCGCGGCTGAAGGCCCTGTGTGGGCTTGGGTCCGCTTACCAGGCATTTCTCACCTGAACCCTGTCTGAGCTGATTCGTGGGCGGTGCCAGAACGCACGCTGTCACGCACACATTTTTTTAAACTGCCGACACCTGGGTTTGCTTTGTGAAAACCGCACCCTGTTAGAAGGCTGCTCATGGGATACAGTGCTCCTTCTAGGAAGATAGGGATGGGCGGGAGGCCAGGGCGCAGCACCCCTGCCTGCGCTGGGCTCCGGAGCACATGGCCGCAGGCCGCCCCTCACTGCGGGGTCTGTGGGTGGACAGAGCCCTTGGACTTTGCTCATTCATTTCCTTTTGTCCCTAGCGCCAAGTTCCTCCTGCCCGCAGAGGGAACTGCTTCCCCCGGGTGTGCATCTTCTAGTGTGTGTGCAGGATTCTGTGCATGCCTTCCGCGTATAATGTGACATCTTTTTCCCACTGTGTTTTCCGTGGGCTAGATGAACAGCACACACTCCCAGGAGTCTGTGTTTTTAGTACGCCAGTTGAATCCCTGTTCTTCCCCCTCTCCCCAAACCCCCATGTGCAGAAATGCCTTGGGGAGGCTGCTGCCCAGGGTGGCTCAGTGGGTGGCGCCCACCAGACAGAGCAGGGCCTTTGCTCTTCTGGGCCACCCTCCTGCTGGACCTCGGGCCTGCCTTCCTGCCCCCCTGCCCTGGGCGCCTTGGGAGAATCTGGGGGCTGGAATCTGCATCTGGGAGTGGCCACCAGGGGGCTCTTCCAGAAGCCCAGGGGTTCCGCCGCGCTCCTGGCGTGAAGCAATAGCTTGGGTTGATGTCAGGCCGACCAGGTCCTGGCTGTGTGTCCTCGGGCGCGTCACCTAACCTCTCTGAGCGGCACTCGCACCGGCCGGCCTGGGATTCAGACCGCAGCCTGTCCGGGACCCCTGGCGGGGTGGGCCTCCAGGGAGGGAGGGAGGGAGGGCGCTGGGCGCGGCCCAACCTCTCAGTGCCCCGCAGGCGGCCGTGCGCGGCGAGCAGTGGACGCCCATCGAGCCCAAGCCCCGGGAGCGGCCGCAGGTCGGGGGCACCATCAAGCAGCCGCCCAGCAACCCCCCGCCGCGGCCTCCGGCCGAGGCCCGCAAGAAGCCCAGCGAGGAGGCGGCGGCGGCGGAGGGCCCCTCGGCGGGCGCCCAGGTCAACCCCATCCCGGTGACCGACGACATCGTGTGACCGCGCCCCGGACCTGCCCGTTCGCCCCGCGCGCCCGCCAGGGGGCGCCCGCCCGCAATAAACGCAGCGAAGCCCGGAGCGTCTGAGCCTGTGTGGGCGGGGCCGGTGGGCGGGGCCGGTGGGCGGGGGCAGGCTGCCTGGGCCCCGCAGGCACCCACTTTCCTGCCCGGGCCCCGCAGGCACCCACTTTCCTGCCCGGCGGGACTCCGTGCCGCGTTCCATTTTCATTAGCATCATCATCGCCTTCCTTCCCAGCAGTACACGAAATCCCGGGGTACCGTGTAGTCCACGACCTGCGGTACCTGGATTCCAGGTGTGTGCCTCCCTGGAAAGGTCGTCCCAGGCCTGCGGGAGGCCGCGGAGTCCTCCCTTGACGGTCTCCGAGGCCCCGCAGCCCTTCCACATCTCTGGACACACTCAACGCCTCCCTAAGGGGGTTGGATTCCAGAGGAGGCTGGCTTTCAGTGAAGAGGGAACAGGGCGGGAGCCTCTTTTCTGTAGAAGGTGGGGTGAGGCTGGTGGCAGATGCGCCCTTGTTTGCCCCCACATTGATGTTGGCGTCCCTCCAGCTGCCCAGGACACTCAGGCCAAGTTGCAGGGGGCTTCTTGCCACCCCCACCCGTCGCTGTGGCTGTGGCTGTGGCTGGGTGCACACAATCCTGCCCCTGTCCACTGATCTCACCACCTCCCTAGCCCGATGCCCCCAAAGCTTTGCCAGGCACAGCCACCCCCCCACCCTTGGGCTCTCTCCGAGGCACCGACTCTCCCAAGGTCGGAGAAACCCTTGCCTCCTGCTTGCCAGCTGCTTCCCAGCAGCTCACACTTCAGAGCCAGGGTCCTCTCCTGTTCCCAGCTCACCCCCCAGCAGCCTGCAGTCAGCACCATACAGACGTCTCAACCCAGCCTTGACGCAGTGAGCCGTCCCCCCAGGTCAGCAAGCTTCAGGTCACCCTTGACGCCCCGACACCCCCACATCCATCCTGGCCCAAGTCCAGACCCCAGGCCTGTGGGCCATCCCCACCCATGTCACCTGCTGCCGCATACTCCTCTGCCCTCACCTCCTGAAATCATCCTGTTGCTGCTGTTCAAACCCAAAGCCTCACCCGGTGCCTCCAGCTCAGCCCACGGCCTTAGAACCCACAGGCTCAGCTGCCTCCAATGATAGTCACAAGCCTCTCAGGGCCCCAGGGCAGACATGAGCTGCACCCTAGCGCCCTGCCCTGCCCCCATGGTCCCTCATGCTGCCCATCTGGTGTCGGCCACACTGGCCACTCGGACCCTTGGACACGCCCAGCATGCGCCTTCTCAGGCCCTACCTGCTGCCTGGTTCCGCGCCCTCCTCCCCTTCAGGTCTCCAGGCCTCCCTGACCCTCTGCTTGGAACTGCAGCCTCCCCCAGAGCCTCTGTCCTGGACTCATTCACAGAGTAAATACCACCTGCCTCATCAGTCACCGTGGGGGTAGGAGGGGTTTTGTCCCTTTTGTTCCCAGCGCCAGGCACTTAGTAGAAACTCAGTATAGCTGGGCACGGGGGCTCATGCACTGTGGGAGGCTGAGGCGGGAGGATCATGTAAGCTTGGGAGTTGGAGACCAGCCTAGCCAACATGGTGATGCCCTGTCTCTACTAAAAATAGAAAAATTAGCTGGGTGTGGCAGTGCACACCTGTACTGGGCGGGTGAGGTGGGAGAATCGCTTGAACCCAGAGCTGGGGTTGCAGTGAGCTGGTCACACCACTGTACTCCTGCCTGGGCAACAGAGTGAGACTCTGTCTCAAAAAATGAAAGAAACTCAATAAATGTGTTGAATGAAAATTTCACCTCCTGGACAAAGGCCACCACCTCCAGGAAGTCTTCCGAGGCCTCCTCCTCTGGGGGCCTGAATGGAGTCCTTGTTCTTCGGTGTAGCCCCCCTGCCCCCATCCTCAGGTCCCTGCACACAGTAGGTGGGTGAGCCAGGGGGTCGGGCTGACAGCTGCCCAGTGGCCCAACGGCAATGTCAGCCCTCAGGGCGGGGGGCCTAGAGACTGAAGCCTGAGACTGCCACAGGCCTGGGCCCCCTTTCCGCGACTGAGGCTGCTCACTCTGGGACCCCATAACTAAAATCTCCAACAGAGGGCCTGGCGCGCGGTGCTCACGCCTTTAATCCCAGCACTTTGGGAGGCCGAGGCAGGTGGATCGCAAGGTCAGGAGTTCAAGACCAGCTTGGCCAAGTTGTTGAAACCCCATCTCTACTAAAAATACAAAAATTAGCTGGGCGTGGTGGCAGGTGCCTGTAATCCCAGCTACTCGGGAGGCTGAGACAGAGAATTGCTTGAACCCGGGAGGCGGAGGTTGCAGTGAGCCAAGATCATGCCACTGCACTCCAGCCTGGGCAACACAGTGAGACTCGGTCTCAAAAAAAAAAGAGTTAACAGACCCTGGGCCCTGCGCGGCTAGTTCTCCCTCAGGGAGGGCGTCTTGGCTTTGGCTGTTGATCTGCACTAGGAAGCCTTGGGCCCATGGCCTTGGGCTCCGGAGCCAACAGTGCTGGCAGCTCATCCTCAGAGACTCTTGCTGTGAGGGCCGAGATGGTGCCCCTAGGCGCTCCCCGTTATTACAAAGGATGGGGCTCAAGGCTTGGCTTGGGGGAAGGAGGCTCATCCCGGTTCCTGGAGTATCCCCGGGAGACGATGCGTGGGCAGAGCAGGGACACCTGTGCTGCCCCGTGTTAGAGCTCAGTCCCACCTGCATGCACCAATCACTGCTGCAGAGACCTTTCTGGAAGAATGCCCCAGAATTGGGTCAGTGGCTGGCCTGGGCCAGGGTGAGCAGGAGAATGTCCCACTGAATGTGGGCCTCTGAGGATGTGTTCATCAGTTTAATAATACATGTACACTTAAATAATTGTTTAAGAAACAGAGGTACTTCCAGGGAGGTTGGGAAGAGGGAACCGGGGGGCCTGAGGCCAGTGGTGGCTGAGGGAAGTCTGGGGGGTGGGGCCGTGGTACAGGTGGCCATGAGACAGCTTTTCTGTGGCTGTGGCTTTAAGGGCCAGAAGAGGCACCGAGCTCCTTCTAGTCCTAACTACTGAGGCTGGAGATGGGGAGAATGGTGGGGGCCACCCTCCAAACCCGGAGGATGCCCGTCTCCCTGATCCGCCAGCTGCTGAGAGCTCTGTCCCTGCCCAGGACCCCGAGGGCAGTGTGGGGGGAGCACAGCCTCCCCCACAGGCCCAGGGTATAAATAACAATAAATACACATAAATAGGGGGTGCCCACGTGTCCAGTCTGGGGGCTCCAGGGCCTGGGTGGTCACACTGACCGAGGAAGCACGCAGGTGCAGCCGACGGGCACACGGATGAACTCGGCATGGAAGGCGAAGGCCCCAGGGGTGGGGGGCCCTGCGCCGTGGATGGAGCATGGCTGGCGGCGCAGCACCAGCAGGCTCTGGAGAAGACGCACCGAGTTGAGCGCGGCCGTCTCTCGGCCCGTCCGGGCGTCGATGCAGCCTCCGCATAGGCACTCGGCGAAGGCCAGCTTCTGCGGGTAGCGGTCCCCGTCCGTGTCCACGCTGTGGGATTGGGGGCACAGTGAGTCTCCCGCCCTACCCTCACCTCCTCAGTCCCCTCTCCCCTCAGGGCCCCTCCCTGTGTGCTCTGGACAGGACCCGAGGTAGTAAGGGACGAGCCACACGGGTCGGGAGGGCTTGGCGTGCAGTCCAGCTCATACGTGCTGGATCCAACAGCACACCACAGAGGCTGGAGGCCTCCAGGAGCCTCTCTCCCACTTCATCGCCCAGCCCCACTTCTGCAGGAGCTCAGGTGGGGGGCCCAGAATTTTCCCAGGGGACCCTGGCCACCAAGGACAGTGGCAGGCAGAGGACGGCGGAAAGCAGCAGCAGCCACCCAGGTCAGCAGGGCTGGAGGGATGAGCTCAGGTGGCCATGCCCACCCGACAGGTGAGAACCACCGAGGTGCACAGAGCTTTCCAGGCAGCCAGGGCCCCGCCAGGGAGGGGCAGCCCCGTGCCACAGCAGGACCCCCAGGCCCTCACCGGTATCTCCAGGGTGAGATGGAGCGCTGGTGGGTGTCTGCCTCCAACAGCTCCTCTGGACGCAGCACTGGGCACTGGGTCTCAGCCGGGGACCCCTCATACTTCCTCTGGTGGCCTGCTGCCTCCAGGCTGGACACCAGGGCTACAGGCAAAGCCTGCCCCCACTTGGCACCTCGAGCCAGCAGGTGTGGGGGGGCCTGGCCTCGGGGCAGCTCCTCGGCCGAGTAGCAGCGTGGGGTCCCATGAGTGTGGGGGTGCCCCCTGAGGGAGGGGTTGTGGTGGGCCAGGCATGTGTGCAGCCAGGTCAGAAACAGGAGGCCAGGGAGGAGCTGGGGAAACAGGCAGGTGGGTGGTTAGGGGTGCCCAGGGCAAGGGTACCTCGCTTCCACCCCAGCTTTCCTTGTTCCCTGGGGAAAGATGGGGTACAGCCCTCCCTCCGTAGAGGGGGAAAATGAAGCCCAGAGAGGCTAGCTCTTCAGCCTGACACCCATGCCAGAGCACTGAGGAGCGGGTGCAGCTGCCGCCCCCACCCCCAGGTTTAGGGGTTTGCTAGACCCCATCCCAACATCCCCATCCCAGGGCTCAGCTGCTTCCGGCCCAGGCTGCGCCACCCGAGTGGCATCCCTCCAAGTGGTGTGTGGAGGGGCAGCAGGCTCACCGTCATGGTGGTGGCAGCGGGACAGGCTGGGCTTGGCGGCAATCCCACAGGTGCACCTGTCGGTGGCCGCTCTTATACCTGAGGCCGGCCACGCCTGGGGGAAATTCCGGCGCCACTTCCTCCTCGGGAAGTGCCCAGCTGGAGCATTTCCTCCTCCAGTGCCCGCAGTCCCACCCGCGGCATCAGGACACAATGTGTGAGGAGCCCCTCGGAGCTTGTCCTGTTACCCCCTCCCCCAAGAGAGACTGCCCAGCCTGAGCGTCTGCTCAGGGTGCTGCCTCGTCTGACATTCTCAAACCTTTTGTTTTTTTTGAGACGGACTCTCGCTCTGTCACCCAGGCTGGAGTGCAGTGGTGCAATCTCGACTCACGGCTACCTCTGCCTCCTGGGTTCAAGTGATTCTTCTGCCTCAGCCTCCTGAGTAGCTGGGACTACAGGCATGCACCACCAAGCCTGGCTAATTTTTTGTGTGTTTTTAGTAGATACAGGGTGTCGCCATGTTGGCCAGGATGGTCTTGATCTCCTGACTTCATGATCCACCCGCCTCGGCCTCCCAAAGTGCTGGGGTAATAGGCATGAGCCACCGCGCCCTGCCTTGAACCTCCTGTAAGAGGGCTTCTGCTTGCGTCTCCGATGTCAGCACCCTGCTGATTCAACTTGTGTGTTTTGTGTTTGGACGTGATGGTGATGGGGGCTTCTGCACCCTCTGCAGTTTTCCTTTCCCCTGCTAGCGGGTCGAGGGTGGTTCAGTGTTTTAGCTGAGATGACCAAGATTAGGTGGGCCCACGTGCCCCCTTCCCCCAGCAGGGAGAGGTCCCTGAAGAGCCTGGGGAGGTGGCCTGGTCTTCACGTTTCTGTTGGGCTTCTGCGGTTTCACTGGGAAAAAAAGTTCAAGCTAAAAAGTCTCAGCTGGAGTGTGAGGACTCTGGGAACTGAGGAGCAGTGCATGTAAGGAGCCGCCTGTGGCCCCCGTGCTCAGTGAGGCTGGCTGGGGCGGGGGTGCCAGACATGCCTTTGTTTCCCTGGAAAGGGGACAGCTGGGGCCAGATCTCAGGAAGTTTTGAATGCTGGGGGTCTGATGTCATCTGAGGAGGGTTCCCCTGTGGTCCCTAGGGCCCCTGAAGCTGTGGGGATCTGTCTGCTGTGGTCCCCTCAGCTGTGGGGTGAGGGCGGGAAGGAGGGTACTCGTGTGCCCCTGGCCTTTCCTCCCCTGCCATGGTGCAGATATGCTGCACAGAGGCATCCTCTAAGCGTAAAACCTCGGTCTCTCCAAACACAAAAGCCCGCAAGTGGGGAGGGCTGAGGCGGCGCTGGGACCCCGCTCTGTGGCAGGAGAAGGACCCCTGGGCCCCCCAGCACCTCCTCTTGGCTGCTATGTCCCTTTGGGCTCGTCTGCCCTGGGCCTTCAGGTGTGAAGGAGGCCATGCCCCAGGGCTAACGGTCTGGGAAGAATCAGAGACACTGCTGGAGTCCCCAGGGCTGCTCCTTCTACAGTGCCCCTGCCCGAATACCTCCTATGACGGGAGCTCACTATCTGCTGGTTTTCTAGGGCTGTGCTAACCATGTACCACAGACAGTGGGGGGTGAAACGGCAGAAGTTTATTCCACAAGGCTCTGGAGCCAGGGGTCTGATATCAAGGCGTGTGCAGGTTGGGTCCTCTGCACCTGCCAGCTGGAGGCTGACAAGCACTCTTAGTTGTGAGACAGGGTGGGGGCAGTGGTGTGAGGGGGGTTTGTCTTTTCTCCAGGATCCACTCAGCCATTGTTCTGGGGACAAAAACTCAAGACCCCCCAACCTCTGCATGCCAAGCACAGCCCCGGGGAGGGGGTGCCAGGACCCCCCAACCTCTGCATGCCAAGCACAGCCCCGGGGAGGGGGT